GTGACATGGGTGTCAGTCCACACTTTCGCAGAGCACTATGCAATTACTGGGGACTCGCCTCTGATGCCATATTCGGCTCCACAGTATTGTCATCTGTAACTCACCCGACTCCGAAGTCCCAGCCCTCCAAAAGGGGTACTCTACTTGGGAGTCACCTACAGTGGAGCACCTATAGGGACGCTGCTCGAAGAAGTAGTTACCTTGTGCAGAAACAGGTTCTTCGAGATGTGTGTCCTTAGGCGTGCTTTGCAACCCGCCCTTCTCCTTCAGAGTTCCCAATATGGGACTCTGTGGTAGAGAAGGATGGATAGCCTGTGCATACTGGCTAGCCTCATGGCGCAGAATGAGGAGAGCTAGTGCATGTGCTACCAAAGTTCTCTGATCACCAGCGCAGGGATGCAGACACACCTACAGTGCAGCACCCACAGGGACACACATCTCAAAGCCTCCACAGGGGGACACAAGATGAGTAACAACTTCTTTTTATAGTTAAACCACATAATTTGTCAAAGACTTGTGGAATCATTTAAACTCATATGACCACTTGTAACGTGGTGTTACATTGCATGCAAATGAATATACCATTTTATATATATATGCCTTTATAGAGTTATGTAGCTTTGATAATACATACACAAAAAGACTTCAAAATACTTCCAGCCTATGTTAGTATGCTGTATAACTGTATACCATGGCTCTTCTCAGTATAGTCAGAGAGAGTGCATTAAATGACAATTATTTGATATAAATGATTAGGACTAGGAATTCCCATACTGGATTAGACCAAATAGTCCATGATGTCCTGAAACCTGACTCTGACAACAGATGCTGTAGAGGAAGTCAATCCTGAGCACTTAATGGTAGTTTTGTGCTCTGAAGCATAAGGGTTTTTTTTCAATAGGCTAAAAAACTGTAGGTAGTGTGACTGGACATGTGTAGATAAAACACCATCAGAATAATTATTTTCAAGTTTAGCTAGGTTTGGTTTTGCTGTGTGTTTAAAGCATGAATACACATGCTGTATTTGCAGAGTGCTGCAGTTCTTATTGCAAATAGAATAAGCATCTACATAAAATATGACTGAGAAACAATGACTATATATCTATAAACAAGGTGTTTTCCCAGGCTTCCTTAGCATAGCCTGATTTCAAGTGGTGGGAAAGGAGGCTGGAGCAACAAGCAGGGATAAAAAACATAGGAGATGTCATGCTAGGAGTCTACTACAGGCCACCTAACCAGGTGGATGAGGCTTTTTTTAAACAGCTAACAAAATCATCCAAAGCCCAAGATTTGGTGGTGATGGGGGACTTCAACTATCCGGATATATGTTGGGAAAATAACACAGCGGGGCACAGATTATCCAACAAATTCTTGGACTGCATTGCAGACAACTTTTTATTTCAGAAGGTTGAAAAAGCTACTGGGGGGAAGCTGTTCTAGACTTGATTTTAACAAATAGGGGGGAACTTGTTGAGAATTTGAAAGTAGAAGGCAGCCTGGGTGAAAGTGATCATGAAATCATAGAGTTTGCAATTCTAAGGAAGGGTAGAAGGGAGAACAGCAAAATAGAGACAATGGATTTCAGGAAGGCAGATTTTGGTAAGCTCAGAGAGCTGATAGGTAAGGTCCCATGGGAATCAAGACTGAGGGGAAAAACAACTGAGGAGAGTTGGCAGTTTTTCAAAGGGACACTATTAAGGGCCCAAAAGCAAGCTATTCCGCTGGTTAGGAAAGATAGAAAATGTGGCAAAAGACCACCTTGGCTTAACCACGAGATATTGCATGATCTAAAAAATAAAAAGGAGTCATATAAAAAATGGAAACTAGGACAGATTACAAAGGATGAATATAGGCAAACAACACAGGAATGCAGGGGCAAGATTAGAAAGGCAAAGGCACAAAATGAGCTCAAACTAGCTACAGGAATAAAGGGAAACAAGAAAACTTTTTATCAATACATTAGAAGCAAGAGGAAGACCAAAGACAGGGTAGGCCCACTGCTCAGTGAAGAGGGAGAAACAGTAACAGGAAACTTGGAAATGGCAGAGATGCTTAATGACTTCTTTGTTTCGGTCTTCACTGAGAAGTCTGAAGGAATGCCTAACATAGTGAATGCTAATGGGAAGGGGGTAGGTTTAGCAGATAAAATAAAAAAAAGAACAAGTTAAAAATCACTTAGAAAAGTTAGATGCCTGCAAGTCACCAGGGCCTGATGAAATGCATCCTAGAATACTCAAGGAGCTAATAGAGGAGGTATCTGAGCCTCTAGCTATTATCTTTGGAAAATCATGGGAGACGGGAGAGATTCCAGAAGACTGGAAAAGGGCAAATATAGTGCCCATCTATAAAAAGGGAAATAAAAACAACCCAGGAAACTACAGACCAGTTAGTTTAACTTCTGTGCCAGGGAAGATAATGGAGCAAGTAATTAAGGAAATCATCTGCAAACACTTGGAAGGTGGTAAGGTGATAGGGAACAGCCAGCATGGATTTGTAAAGAACAAATCATGTCAAACCAATCTGATAGCTTTCTTTGATAGGATAACGAGCCTTGTGGATAAGGGTGAAGCTGTGGATGTGGTATACCTGGACTTTAGTAAGGCATTTGATACGGTCTCGCATGATATTCTTATCGATAAACTAGGCAAATACAATTTAGATGGGGCTACAATAAGGTGGGTACATAACTGGCTGGATAACCGTACTCAGAGAGTTGTTATTAATGGTTCCCAATCCTGCTGGAAAGGCATAACGAGTGGGGTACCACAGGGGTCTGTTTTGGGACCGGCTCTGTTCAATATCTTCATCAACGACTTAGATATTGGCATAGAAAGTACGCTTATTAAGTTTGTGGATGATACCAAACTGGGAGGGATTGCAACTGCTTTGGAGGACAGGGTCATAATTCAAAATGATCTGGACAAATTGGAGAAATGGTCTGAGTTAAACAGGATGAAGTTTAACAAAGACAAATGCAAAGTGCTCCACTTAGGAAGAAAAAATCAGTTTCACACATACAGAATGGGAAGAGACTGTCTAGGAAGGAGTACGGCAGAAAGGGATCTAGGGGTTATAGTGGAGCACAAGCTAAATGAGTCAACAGTGTGATGCTGTTGCAAAAAAAGCAAACATGATTCTGGGATGTATTAACAGGTGTGTTGTGAGCAAGACACAAGAAGTCATTCTTCCGATCTACTCTGCTCTGGTTAGGCCTCAGCTGGAGTATTGTGTCCAGTTCTGGGCACCGCATTTCAAAAAAGATGTGGAGAAATTGGAAAGGGTCCAGAGAAGAGCAACAAGAATGATTAAAGGTCTTGAGAACATGACCTATGAAGGAAGGCTGAAAGAATTGGGTTTGTTTAGTTTGGAAAAGAGAAGACTGAGAGGGGACATGATAGCAGTTTTTAGGTATTTAAAAGGGTGTCATAAGGAGGAGGGAAAAAACTTGTTCACCTTAGCCTCTAAGGATAGAACAAGAAGCAATGGGTTTAAACTGCAGCAAGGGAGGTCTAGGTTGGACATTAGGAAAAAGTTCCTAACTGTCAGGGTGGTTAAACACTGGAATAGATTGCCTAGGGAGGTTGTGGAATCTCCATCTCTGGAGATATTTAAGAGTAGGTTAGATAAGTGTCTATCGGGGATAGTCTAGACAGTATTTGGTCCTGCCATGCGGGCAGGGGACTGGACTCGATGACCTCTCAAGGTCCCTTCCAGTCCTAGAATCTATGAATCTATAAAATCAGAGACATCAAAATGTGTTATATAATTGCATACGTTCAAATACATCATACCATTAAGGTACATCTACACTGCAACTTCCCAGCTCAGGTAGAAAGATGCACTAGCCCTGCTCAAGCTTGTGCTCTAAAAATAGCATTGTAGCTGGGGAGTAGCTTGGGCAGTATCTTGGGCCAGCCACCTGAGTACAAACCTGCCCAGCCCCCTTGAGTACATATTCAGGTAGCTAGCCTAACCTGCCACCAGTGCTACCCCCAGCTACACTGCTATTTTTAGCACACCAGCTCAAGCAGAGCTAGCACATGTCTGTCTACCTAAGCTGGGAAACATGCTCCCAGCTGCAGCATAGATGTATTGTAAGTGTTATCTACTGGTTTCTACATTTAAGCAGGGGAGAATGTCTATGTCGGGTGGGCAAACTTTTTGGCCCGAGGGCCACATCTGGGTATGGAAATTGTATGGCCGGCCATGAATGCTCATGAAATTGGGGGTTGGGGTGCGGGGGGGGGGCTCCAGCTGGGGGTGCAGGCTCTGTGGTGGGTCCAGAAATGAGATGTTCAGTGTGCGCAAAGGGGCTCCGGGCTGGGGAAAAGGGGTTGGGGGGGTGGGGGTGGGGTGAGGATTTCAGCTGGGGGTGTGGGCTCTGGGGTGCGGCTAGGGGTGAGGGTTTGGGGTGCAGGAGAGTGCTCTGGGCTGGGACCAAGGAGTTCGGAGGGCAGGAGGGGGATCAAGGCTGGGCCAGGGGGTTGGGGAGGGGGTCGGGGGGGAGGCTCCAGGTGGCGCTTACCTCATTCAGCTCCCAGAAGCAGCGGCATGTCCCCCCTCCAGCTCCTATGCAGAGGCGTGACCAGGCAGCTCTGCATGCTGCCCCATCCACAGGTGCCGCCTCTGCAGCTCCCATTGGCTGTGGTTCCTGGCCAATGGGAGCTGCGGGGACGGGACTTGGGGCGGCGGCAGTGTACTGAGCCCCTTGGCTGCCCCTACGTGTAGGAGCCGGAGGGGAGACATGCTGCTGCTATCAGGAGCCGCGCGGAGCTGGGCAAGCCCCCGACCCCGCTCCCCGACTGGAGCTCGAGGGTCAGATTAAAATGTCTGAAGGGCTGGATGCGGTCCCTGGGCTGTAGTTTGCCCACCCTGGTCTATGTAATATCACAAGCAAGATGTATTAAATTGTTTTTCAGTGTCTAGGCATTAACTTAACTGTAAAATGAATTCTCTGAGTGTAAAAATGCCACATTTCATGTATTTTTGTATATTTATAGATTAGTCCTACAGTTATTGCTAAAGAGTTATCGGTGTCTGACACAGATGTATCAGAGGTATCTTGGACTGATAATGGGACCTTTAATTTATCTGAGGGATACACTCCACAGACAGACACATCTGATGGTATGTAATGGTTTCATTTAAGTCTTCATTTATTACAGTACTGGAAATTATCTAAAATTTTTAGGGTGCGTCAGGACATGACAAATTCCTTGTAAAAGCTGACATTTTTTATTAAAATATATTGCAATAGGTTTAATTTATTGTGTTTTGGGGACATCTGCTGGACAAGGATTATCTATGTCTTGTACATTATGCAGCACATCAATGTATAACTTAAATAACATCAGCAGCAAAGACTAAACTAAACACATTCAGAGCCAGCAAGACCAGCAATCTCCACCAGAGTTCTCAGGCAGGGTGGAAAAACAGGATTTATTCTCTTGCTCTTTGGTGTGTGTGTGTACTATGTGGATATAAAGGAAGGAAGAGGAAGAGCATATCTTGACATGTTCGGTAACCACTCCAGCAGCCAATTAAAGAAAAGCATTAATGGGCTCCAAATAATAGAATCTTGGGGGAGATGGGCACCATTGAGCCAGGATTGGATGGAGAGGCTCATATGCTAGAAGGAGATACTCAAGGATGCCTTTTTCAAGGCCAGATCATGAGATCCTTACTCTGTTTTTACTCAACCAATCTCCCAATGGGAATTTGCCTGAGTGAGGACTGAATAGAAACAAAGTAAGGAGTTCAGGATCTGGCCCTCTGAATAAGTTATGGAGAACTTTCACCTAGCTAGATCAAGAGAAAGACCATAGTATTGTAAATGTCATTGATATTGTATGTACTGTATCTGGTGTCACTACAGTAGTCTTGATGTAATCTGTTCAGTTAGTGGTTCTGCTATTCTGCAGGTCCTGTATTTTTCTAAGATGGAGGTTACTTAAAATTACAAGTAGGATAGTATTGCAGGATAGTTATAAATGCCAAATCAGTGTCATTTAATTCTTTCTTTTTTTAAAGTAGCTATCACAAGTTGTAATCAAACAGCAGTATTTGGTGGAAAAATATAAATTAATGATAAATAAGTATGATTCATTTAAACTTCAGGGCTTTTATATCTGTTAGCCTTTATCAAAATGCCTCATCACTTGTTCTTATGAAACAAAATAAATTCAGTCAGATTAATTTTTTTTTTATCCTCAGTGCACATTAGAACAAAGGTTCTTTTCATATATATTCTCCTTAATTCACTTCCTTAAGGCCTGGTTTACAAGCCTATGGTCAGTTGGTGTTTTAATAGAGTAAGGACTCTAGCATCAGGTCGTAAAAGCACACTGTGAAGTTTTAATTTTTTTAAAAATTCCTCATGTTACTAATAACACTTTGGATTATTAAAAACAAAACTATTAAAATCCAATTTACTTTTAACCATTAAAAGTGAAACTACACTGGTCAGTTTTGCTAAGGTTTTGTGTTCAAAATTTGTGGGGAATGTTTTACATACAACTTTGATAGTAACAAAAATGTTTTCATGATATTTTTTCATACCTTAATGAAAAGAGATTTGTTAATGGATTCAGACATTCCCAAGCAGATTTTACAACCAACCCCTATCAGCATGGTGCTCAGGCATGAGGACTGCAAGATGAGTTTCACCAGGCAGCTTTCGTTTTATAGGCCTAGTGAAATGTAAAATGTAAACAGTGTAAATGGTAAAAAGGAAATTAATTTTTACATTTTTAATAATCTAAGGAAGCTTTTAATATTTACTTTTAACCTGACATTCTCCCATTAAATTATTAATGTTTTCTCACTGAAGTAATGTAGTCAGATTTTGAGCAACAATGATGTTCGCAGCTTTGAAATACTGATTATATAATCTGAGAAACATCTAATTTGAATGGTGCCAGAAAGCTCTCCTTGTTAAATCACAAAATTGTGGTAGGGAATAAACTTTACTAATAATAATAATTTGTGTTCTTTCATTCTCCCTTGTTTGCTAACAGTATTTTCAACTGTTAATCACTTAATAGATTTTGACCGACCTAGTGATCATGAAGAAGCTTTTGCCAGAGATCTTGCAGAATTTCCCTCTCTAGAAAATGGCGCAGGAACAAATGACGATGATGACTCGAGCATTGGCATTCCCACCCATCAGAAGAGAAAAAAGGAACAGATGCCTTCCAAGATGGCTCATTCTCCCAGACAGAGGAAAGAGAGGCAGTCTGCCACAGGCCTCTCCCTTCCTTTGACCAGTGACCAAACCTTTAACTTAGTGAGTGATATTGCTGGTGATGTTATTGCAGCTGCTGTGTCTGCCGCCATCAAAGACCAGTTGCAGTCCACACAACGAGCACCCTCACAGGTAGTCCCCAGTTTGAGTGAGGAGACAGACACGGAAGAAGCTGATGATTTTGAACTGCTTGACCAATCAGAGCTTGAGCAGATTGAGAGTGAACTGGGGCTTACACAAGGCCACGAAGAAAAGCCACAGGAAAAAAAGAAATCTTCAGGCTTCCTTTCAAATCTGCTTGGAGGTCATTAACCTGGAAATTGGAGCTAGTAACGTAGCAGAAGTGAAACAAAAAATCAAATGCAAAAAAAAGGAAAATGCTCAGCTGTAAGCTTTAACTATTACTTCAGATGTGTTGTAATAATTTCCCTTACACAGAGTGAATTAATTGGATACATATCAGCTGACCCTGATAGTTTAATGTTTCTGATAGTTGTGCCTCAATGTAGTAGCATGGAAATGAAGTATCTAGCCACTCTTTGGTCACTGATGAATGTTAGAGGTCAGTTGTTATTTAAGGAAAAATTAAATTGCCAAATCTAGATTTCGAGGTCCTCAGCCAAATGCTCTTCACCTTCAGTTTGTTTCCACTTAGTTTTCAAGCATCCAAAGCAGTTAACGATATGTACAGTGAAGAGAAATTATGAATAGGATGCAGTGAGATTAGCAAAATCTTATCTGCCTCTATTATAGTGGAATATCTAGATCCCTATGGTTATTGTGTGTGGCATGTTTGATGTCCATGAACACTTTATTCAGCATAAACCTCAAATTTAAGGATGTGTGCAATGCCATCAAAATTAACAAAAGTTGTGTTGCATATGTAAACTTTCAAATTAATTTCTTGATAAGCTGATACATTTCCAAGTTATCTCTGATGTTTTAGGCTTGTAGAGCTATGAAATGGCATGCTACTAAATTGACCACCTGCTGTATTCTCTGCTAGAGTCTGGTACTGGGCAGTCAGTAATGTCCATAAAAAGCAAGGCAAAAACAATGTTACACTTTAGATTATAAATATCATGTAAACTGAACAAGGCCTTTGTTGTTTTGTTTTTTAATTTTAGTTTGGAATAGGGAAGCCAAGAATATTAAAGGTGAACAGAGAGGCTTTTTACCTGCCAATACCTGCAGTCAGGGTTCTGGTTTTTTCATGAGACAGCTGCTATCACTCCTAATTGAAGTCATTAGAGAGTTATTCTTTAAGCTGTATCTGGTGTTCAGTGAGGCCAGATGTTAAAGAAGAAACACAGAAACTTCTTGGCATACAAGTGAAGGAGGAACTTGTTTAAAAATATTTATTTGTAATTTTTAACTCCTCACATACTCAGACTGGCTTGGGATCTTAAACAAGTAACTTAGTCCGGTTTTTTTTCAAGATTTTTGGTTCACCTTTAAACAAAGATGAAAGGCAATGCCCATTTAAGGTAAACAAAGATTAATAGGAAGAAGTAAAGCTAGTTTTATTAATGTGCTGTAAATTGTTAGCAGGGTTGAGGGACCATGTCAGCTGTTATCACTAATCTTTATGTGATCTCCTATTTGCTGGCATTTTACAGGTGAATGTTGTTATCTAGAACCCTCAGAAAGTACAAACCAAGCTTATAGCAAGGTCAGCTTTTCTTCCCTAATAGAATATATTTAGAAAAAAACTTGTTTTAAAGTAGCACAGTTTTAAATTTGTTTTTCTTTCTGAGGCATTTAAAAGCTAGACAGATTGCCAAAAAGATTTTAGGTAAAGGAAAGCTATGGAAGACTTTTGACAATAGCTTTATCGTTGCTTGTGCTTATGTGTCAGTAATGCATATTAACTGTGTTTGCTGTCCTTTATCGGTACAAAAGTGAGCCTGTGCCTTCATTATCTAACCCATCCTGAAAGAAGTGAAAACTGGATATAGAGGCCACAAAATGTAGTTTTTAAAATTACATCATCCTGACATTTAATAAAAGTTTCTGAAAAATATATAAAATACAGCCATATATTTTATGCAGTGTTAGCTGTTAAGTTTTTTTATGACTTTTTCCCAGCTTGTGCATTCCCATCTAGTAAACAAACACACACAAAGGCTGTGGTCACGAAATTAGTGAGTGTAAAAGCCATTTCAGTTTCTCAGATGAATAAAGAACACTGTTTCCTTAATGCATGTTTAAGACAATCTACATAGTTAGAAGAGTACAAGTTACAAGTCACCGATGAAGCTTTCAGAACATCTTGACAATAGTATGCTTCCCTGTGTGATAGTACAAGTAACAAGAAGATTAACAGGGTACAACACATGAAGAAACTGGATGGGCAGGGCTGGAGAGGGGGAGGTCTTTAACAAGACCCTAAGTGGATGTTGAGTCATGCTAGCTTACTGTTGATGGTGGCATTGTAACAGTGTGCACTTTATTGTTTTCTGAAGAATATTTGTGGTTACAAAATTATATAATACAGGGGCACTCTTATAGAAATGCAAATTACATCAAGGAAGAAAAGCAGTTGCAGGAGGAGTTGCTCAGACTTTTTGTAAATGATCCATTTTCTGGTTTCAAGATAGAAAAGTAAACCAATTTGACTATGTGTTCCAGTGTGGAATAAGTCCTGAATTGTCCATAAGGAAGCAAGGCAAAACAAACCTGAACATATAACATACTGAAATGTGGGAGCACAATTGCTCATTACCCTGTGTTTGGCTTTTTAAAATTTTTGTTCTTCTATTTTTATAGTAGTTAAAGAATAATTAACTGTTTGTTCAAGACCCAAATACTGCAGGATTGGAAGAAGAGGACTTAATAAAAATTATTAGTAGTAATAAAATTATAGCATATCTTTCCTACTTTATTAATATCAGATTGACCCACAAGCATCTGTGAGAGCTAAAAAAGAAGGCTTTGAGCTCTGAATAGTAAGTAATTGAGCATGCCATGATTTTCTGCAGAACTTTCTCAAAAAAAGACAGCGTAAGTCAGAAGTACTTGGTTCAGAAATAATTAAGAAATATTGGTTATGCATTCCCTTTGCATTAGTTGGACAGTTGAGCATGAAGAAACATTTTCTGTCCTTCTAAAAGATCCCGTTCAGTTGGAATTCGTATTAGGGATCCTACGTTTGCTGCACTCAGCAGCAGCAACAAAATAAGCTACTGAAGAATTACAACATTTTACAATCTTGCAATAATTCGCACAGCTTCTTTCCTACCAAGAGTCCTGCCACCTTCAAAAATTAATAAAATTACAGAAACAAAGCCATATGAGTATGAGAGTAAATTAAACAATGTAAAAGTGTATATTTGCTTCATAGAAAACTTGTTTTGACACAATGTATTGTAAAATATAATATACACATATTGAGCTAGATCGTGATTGTATCTTTAAGGGATTTCTCCTTTTGTTAGAAGAGTATATATGGACCCCTCTAGTTCAGTCCTCCTTACTCAATAAAATTCCTATTGACTTCATTGGGCCTGTTGCCCTAGTAAGAATGACTGAATTGGGGGCCTTAATTATGTCACTCCTGTTTCTTGAACAATATGTTAAATCCAAAATAAAGGAACCTTTCAAAAAGCTTAAACTTGGAGATAGAAGCCTTTTTGGCATATACATAGTCATAAATGCATACCTTTAATCCTTTAGTGAGCTTGTTTCTTTTTTAAATTGAGTCTACAATGAGGAGGGATAAATAGGACATTACTAAATATGAAAAAATACAGATTTTACTTGCTTTTAGTTCATTTTGCACTTATTCCAGACGAATGCCCATATAACTAAGCACTCTGTTGAACAGACATACCGTGGTCTCCATTTATTTAATATGAAAGCAATTAATGGTCTCTGGACAAGCTATCCAGGTAACCAGAAACTGGAAAATTACAGAATATCTCAAACTGTTTATCTAAAATATTTTGCAGCACTTTACCTAATATGATTACTGTTTTATAAACATGGAATAATTAATTATTATTATTATTATTATTGTAATTGTTTGTAAAACTATTTAATAAATATGGTAGTTTTTATCTTTCATTATATAAAATTGTATGTTTGTTATTCCAAAAATATAACTTTAGTCAAGTTAATGCCACTTTTTTTTTTCCTAATCTGATGTGAACCACTGTTTAATAGTGTGGAGGGTCATACTAAATAAATGATCTTAGCTCTCAGCTACAGCCTGATAATTTTAGAACTTTATCCATGTAAGCAGGGTCTGAATGAGCTCTCTGCTGACATATTGTGATGAGCTGGAGGGAAAGACTTCAAGAACAGACTGTATTTGCATAGGCACACCTACTCTGCCTAGATACACAGCAGAGGGAACTGCTCTTCCAAAATGATCAATTTGGGCTGGTGTTGGGTTACAAATCACTCTAGTATTTGAATGCAGGAGTAATGGAATGTTGTTATCCTGATCGCATGAGTAAAGGGCAGCAGAACTGTATTTAAGTTGCCCTGATTGATGGCTCACCCTAAACTGAACCTCACTCTCTAAGCAGCAGGTAGGGATGCCAAATTCCACTTGAAAAACAGAGAGGGTGGGAATGGGTGTTTATACCTGATGTTGTGTGTTCTGTCTCAAGATCCTTCCCCTCTCCACTGTTTAAAGACAGAGCTGACTACACTCATTGAGAGTCTTTGTTTTGTTAAGTGATCACTACAGCTGAAATCACTGATAACCACTGTGCTGAGCACAGTGACAGTATGGTGGTGAAAGAGACTACCCAGCCCACAGAAAGGTTCCCCACTACCTACTGAAATCATTGAGTGCTGGGTTAAGTCGTGAACATCAGAATGTGACATCAGAATGAATGGTGGTGGCAGTGGCCAGCGGTGGCAGAGTGAACAAGGACAGGAGAGTGAGTGGCAGCAACTGTGAGTCAGTTGCTGAGATGGCTGCAGCAGCTGAGGCACTGCTTGGTGCCTTCGCCCACTCCCCGGGGTGGGGGGGGTGAACTCACATGAACACACCTCTGAATTCCGGGCCTTCACTGACCTAGGACAGTAACTGTGAGTAAAGTGCAGTGGAAGGAGAGGGAAATGGCAGGTTAAAGGAACATTTGTTGGACTTCTACACTGCAAGGTGAGAGCAAAGGACACGGCCCAACACACTCTGGGGTGGGTGTGTAAACGTACATAAGAATGACCATACTGGATCAGACCAATGGTCCATCTAGTATCCTGTCTTCCAACAGTGGCCAACGTCAGGTGCCCCAGAGGGAATGAACAGAACAGGCAATCATTGAGTGATCCATTCCCTGTCGTCCACTCCCAGCCTCTGGCAATCAGGGGCTAGGGACACCCAGAGCACAGAGTTGTATCCTGGATCATCTTGGCTAATAGCCAGTGATGGACCTATCCTCAATGAGCTTATCTAGTTCTGTTTTGAACCCCATTATAGTTGTGGCCTTCAGAACATTCCCTGGCAATGAGTTCCACAGGTTGACTGTGTTGTGTGAAGATGTACATCCTTTTGTTTGTTTTAAGCCTGCTGCCTATTAATTTCATTGGGCGACCCCTAGCTCTTGTGTTATGTGAAGGAATAAATAACACTTCCTTATTCATTTTCTCCACATCAGTCACGATTTTACAGACCTCTGTCATATCGCCTCTTAGTCATCTCTTTTCCAAGCGGAAAAATACTAGTTTTTTTTTAATCTCTCCTCATATGGGAGCTGTTCCACACCCTTAATCACTTTTGTTGCCCTTCTCTGTAACTTTTCCAATTCCAATAAAACTTTTTTTGAGATGGGGTAACCAGAACTACATGCAGTATTCAAGGTGTGAGTGTTCCATGGATTTATATATAGTGGCATTATGATATTTTCTGTCTTATCTATCCCTTTCCTAATGGCTCCTAACACTGCACACTGAGCAGATGTTTTCAGAGAACTATCCACAATAACTCCAAGATCTCTTTCTTGAGTGGTAGCAGCTAATTTAGTCCCCATCATTTTGTATGTATAGTTGGGATTATGTTTTCCAATGTGCATTTATCCACATTTTGTTGACCAGTCACCCAGTTTTGTGAGATTCCTTTGCAAGTCTTTGCAGTCTGTTTTGGATTTAACTATTTTAAGTAATTTTGTATCATCTGCAAATTTTGCCACCTCACTGTTTACCCCCTTTCCGGGTCATTTATGAATATGTTGAACAGCACCTGTCCCAATACAGATCCCTGGGGGACACCACTATTTACCAATCTCCAATCTGAAAACTGACCATTTATTCCTACTTTTTGTTTTCTATCTTTTAATCATGATCCATGAAAGGACCTTCCCTCTTATCCCATGATTGCTTACTTTATTTTAAGAGCCTTTGGTGTGAGGGATCTTGTCAAAGGCTTTCTGAAAGTCCAAGTACACTATAACCACTGGATCACCCTTGTGCATGTGTTTGTTGATCCCCTCAAAGATTTCTAATAGATTTATGAGGCATGGTTTCCATTTACAAAAGCCATGTTGACTCTTCCCCAACAAATTGTGTTCACCTATGTGTCTGATAATTTTGTTCTTTACTATACTTTGAACCAGTTTGCCTGGTACTCAACTTAGGCCTATCAGCTTGTAATTGCCAGTATCATCTCTGGAGTCTTTTTAAAAAATTGGTGTCACATTAGCTATCCTCCAGTCGTCTGGTACAGAAGCTGACAGGTTATGTACCTCACTTAGTAGTTCCACAATTTCATATTTGAGTTCCTTCAAAACTCTTGGGTGAATACCATCTAGTCCTGGGGCCTTATTGTTGTTTAATTTATCAATTT